ACTGAGGCCACAGAGGGGGGCATCATTCCCAGAGCGAGACGCCTTTTGGCGAGGCTTTGGCTGCACACCCACGCACACACACCTCACCCACAGTCCCGCGCGGTCCAGTTGGGAGGGATCCCTGGGAGGCGTGACTGGGGGGCGGATGTGCCTTTCCTGGCTACTACAGTGGAGACACATGTCAAGAAACAGCCTGCTTGCCTCCAGGGTGCACTAGGTTTCTTGGGTTTCGATGGTTTTGCGATGGACAGCGCGAAGTTCCCACACCAAAAACCAATGGACGTCCTGGGGTCTCAGGCTTGGGTTTCTTGTGGAAGGTTTCTTGTGGACTGGCCTCGACTGTACCCCCCCTTTTACTTGCCGACCCTCCATCCGTTTTCTTGTAAATGACTTCCCCCTGGTCGTGCCACCAGGGAGGCTTGGCTGGGAATGTCGATTCAGATCTGAGTGTGATGTGATATCCTGACGCCAGAGCAGCTCCAACAGTGGTACAGGGACGGAGGGCTGGGCATTGTCAAAACGAGGCTTCACGCCACAGTGCCGCGCACACTCGTCTTGAAACTTCCCAGCAGTTACAAGGATGGAGGGCAGGTCGTTTTCACATTGCGGCTCTCATTTACGAATGACCCAATTCTAGGACACGAAATTCCTCATTGTGCCTCAGCTACACGGATGGGAGGCGGTTCTGTTCAAAGTTGGGCTCGCCCTCCTCTTCCCTACTCTCTCCTCTCCCTCATCCTTCCTCCTCCTTCCTCTCGGGGTCAGTTGCCTCGAGTCAGGATGGCCGGGAGCGGTTATTCAGTCTCTCGTATGTGTCCCAAGTGCGGAGGGGAGGATTACAATTTGTCATTGCATTTGGAAAGGTTGCAAGAATCATGGAGTTGATCTTGAGAAATCGAGTTGCCTTTTAGCTCAGGCCGAAAACCCAAGCTGAACAGTGTCTTGTTTTTTGGTTGCGAGGTATACCCCTTTTAAGTGGTTGTGGAGTACAGGCCCGTGGCGTTCGGAGCCCTCGAACCTCATCCCAAGTACGGCCGCATTGTGTTGCCTGCGAATGGTTCTTGGGGTTACTTCAGTTCTGGTGTGCGTAAGCGATGGTGTGGTCTTGCCGTTGTTGCGCTCAAGTCGAAGGCCCAGGGGGAGCGGGGACTGGCTTCGAGAACTCGCACAGCTTTACGTAGGAGGAAGGCGGCTGACTGTGCCGCGATTGGAGCTCACAGCCTTTGCCATTGCACTAGAGTCTGTCCAGTTCCCACTTCTCTTCGTTACTGATCATCAACCACTGTTCCTCAGCGTGACGCACGGCCAGATCAGAGCAGATCAGCTATGACCACGCCACGGTCAAGTTCAGCGACGAGAAGCTGAAGAAGGCCGTCCTGAGCTCACAGCATAGCTCACTCACCCAGAAGTGAGGAGAGGACTCTCGTGATTGTGTCACGAGATCTCACGGAGGCGGAAAGCAGATATACTCCCAAGAGCCGCATTGGCCCACTGGGGGGGGATGCGTGTTCCGACGCCCGCGGACATCAACGGGCGAGATCGACGAGTTGAGCACTCCGGTGAGCGGGCTTGCGTGGACTGTGTCTGGGCAGCTCGCGGATCTTAAGCAGGTGCTCCTCGAATAGTCTCGCATTGTACTGGGTGGGGGAATAGGCTAGCATGCTTTGGCTACGTAGTCTTAATTAAGGGTTCCACCGGGAGTAGCTTCCAACCCTGCCACTGGCGGTGTAAAACGTTTTGCGGCTGGCGCCATGGAGGGTGGGGGGCCAATGAGCCCTTGGGCTGGAACGAAGTCCGGCGACCCTGAGACTTGCCGAAGCCAGGTCAACGCGTTCCCCCGCGAGGGAACTTTTTATGAAGGGGCGGTTAGTAGAGCCTTCCTGTTGTGCTGTCCTATTGAAGGCACGACGGACTGGTCTGAGCACCAGACTCGAACAGTAGGTGTGTCCCCCTTCCTGTTGCCTCGCCTGTTTCTCAGCCGGCCTGTCCGCTGCCTTTTTGACCTTGGGGTACGGGAGCCTGCCGTGCCCCCTTGCCCGCCGCATTCGCGCCTTATACATACCGCCTTGTTCATCCGCTTACGGAAAACATTGGCTCCGTTCTTACATCCTCATTTCTAGTGTCTTCCTCTTCCTCCTCCTCCTTCAATCCTTCCTCCTCCCCCTCTTCAATAAATTGTCCTTGCAGGTCATTCCTCCCTGTTGTACCCCCAGACGCGTCGATAGCGCGGGCCGGGCGTTTCTTTGAGACTTCCTCACCATTCATGATCATGAAGCTACGGATGGAGGTCGGGCTGGTTTCAGAAAGCAGCTATCGCCGTAGCGTCGCCGCCGCGCATTCTTAAAACAAATGCCGCAATGGCTTACAACATGTAGCTCTCGCCTTAGCGCCGCGCGCATTCGCATTACAACTTTGCGTTCGCTTGAGAATGGAAAGCGGGTGGTCTTCAACATGTCGCTATCGCTTTAGCGCCGAGCGCATTCGTCTTCAAACGTTGTAGCACCTTCATGGATGAAGGGTGCTTTTTCCAAATGTTTATCTCGCTCCAGCGCCGTGCGTATTCGTCTTGAAGGCGTGCAACAGTGTCAAGGATCCGCACGGTCGTAGTCCCAGGTATAGTGTTTAGGCGAGATCTGGGATTGTCAGAACGCAACAATCACGTCGATTCGCGGTTTTGAATTCCCAGGAACGGCGTTCTGGCGCGATTTCAAATTGTCAGGACGCATCAGTCCAGTTGATTCGCCACGCTGCAGCCTCAGGAATGGTGTTCTGACACGAGTGGGGAGTCTCAGACCGTTGGACCGTCTTGGGTTTATACTAGTCCTCCTCCCTCCTCCTCCGCCTCCTCCTCCTCTTCCTCCTCCTCCCTGTACGCTCGTCTCCTCTTCCTCCTCCTCCTCCTCCTCCTCCTCCTCCTCCTCCTCTCCTTACTCTCCCTTCTCGTCCTCCTCTCCTCCTCCTCCCCCTCTTCCTCCTCCTTCTCCTAGTCCTCCTCCTCCTCCTCCTCCTCCTCCTCCTCCTCTTCGCCGCAGGCGCCCAGTCGGGCATGCGGAGCTGTGGCCCAGACGGAGCCATGCCGAGGCTCGTCTCCTGCGTGGCGGCGGCTCTGCTCCGACGTGCCGCCGGCACCAACACCGAGCTCACGTTCCCCACCGAGGTTGAGGCGGCGGATGGGTGGCACACCCTGACGTTGGAGCAGAACGATGCGCACCGCTTCGCGGGGGGTGCACGTCCGGACGGGCCCTCCGTCCTGCCCGCTCGACCAGGGCCTTTTAGGCACGCCGATTGCGAGGCCAGGCCCCCTCCTGCGCGTGTCGCGAGCGGTGCCGCCATCTCCGCTTCGTTATTATTTCCCATTTATTGTTCGTCCTCTTGATTCCCCTGATCATCCTCATTGTACTTCTCGTCCGCCTCGTCCTCATCCTCCCCGTCCGCCTTGCCACTCCCCTTCTTCTCCTCACCCCATGCTTTCTCGCCATCTTCACCCCCCCGTCCCCGACCTCGTCGTTGTCTTGCTCCTTTTCTTTTTCCTCCTTCCACCACCCTCCTCCTTTCCTCTTCTTCTTGTGGTTACTATAGTGATTCCTCTTCCTCGTTCGTTCCTTGGTGTCCTCCTCCTCCTGCTCCTCCTCTGTGGGGCCATCTTGGGCGTCTCTTAGGTCCCTTGTGGGCCGTCTTGGGAAATGAGTGGCCACTCTCGGGCCATCTCGCGACGCGACCTTCCCATGAGGCCACACCAGATTGACAAGCCATGGAAGAAAAAGCGCGGCGAGAGACTGCTTGCTTTTCGATTACCTCTGGGGGCATGCCAGTTCGTCTTGGAGTTACCTCTGGGGGCATGCCGGTTGGCTGCCACGTCAGTGGACCATCCAACTTTCCCGACGCAACGCCGTTCGGGGACAGCGTCCTCGGGAATCTGTCGCATACGGCCTGAAGGAGTCATTCACACCATCCTTGGCTTCGATGCGCTGCGGTGGAACAGAGCAAAACACAGTTCGTCTTGGGACCTCTTGGGCTGCCCTGGCGGCGTCCCGTGGCCCTCTCAGGCCGCCCCTGGGCGCATCCGAGGGGGCCCGGAGCTTCCGCATCACACACGTGGCTTCCCGGACGTCGGGGGTGGCATACCCTGTCGGGCGGGTGGTCGACCCTTTCCTTGCGTTCTGCTCCCTGCCTGCCGCCTGCCCGCCCGCCCCGGCCTCCCGCCTGCGCGTGCGTCATCGTCTGCCTGCTTCTCCCCTCCTCGTCCCTTGCCGCTGGGCAGCACAGCCTGCCCGGGACCAGCGTGGCGGCGTGCAGGGCTTCAGCAAGGCGGCGGTTCGGGGCAGCAGACCCTGGCTCCAGATCCGCCGTATTCTGGATCATTCTCCGGAGTGAGTTTGTGTCGGAAATACTCCGCAAACGATGCGAAAAGGCAGGGCGGAAAGTTCCGCCTCAGGGAACTGAGGGGCGGAGATCTCCACACAGGTATGGTGGAAACAGCGGCGGCAAGGAGGGGCGGAGATCGGCATCAGAGGAGCTTGGAAGGCAGGTGGAACATGTCCACCCCGCTCGGCGAAATCGCCCAGGAAGGGGGGGGGTGAGGACCAGGGGTGGTGGATATCATGGCTGGGGCCATGAATCAGCGGAGAGCCCGGGGGCGGGGGGGAAGTGGGAAGGGAAGGGCCTTCTCAGAAGGCCCGGAAGTCTCTCGGCCTTCTAAAAAATGTCTCAAGCCTTCCCCGAATACATAAACAACTTTTCAGAAGGCGCGAGGGCTTCTCAGAAGCTCCGCCGCCTTTGAGAAGGCCTTCTCCTTCTCACTTCTCCTTCTCGCTCGCCGCGGGATAAACTTTCTTCGGGTGTCATTGCCCCCTCTTCTTCTACTTCTTCTTCTTCTTCGGCTCTGGCCATGATTTGCGACCCCCCCCCCTCTTGGACGCCCCCGAGAGGGGTCGGTGGACTTCGCAGGCGGGGCATACGGAATCACGACGAGAAGTTACACAGAGGGGTACACGTTCCGCATGAAGCCTGGCGAGACTCTCCGAGTGACCTTGGTGAACAACTTAGACGCCGCCAACAATATCGGCTGCGATGTCACCGAGACCGAGTTCTGCAAAGCCGCTACCACGAACTTCCACACGCATGGCTTGCACGTGTCTCCCAAGGGCTCGGACGAGCTGACGTATGCCAGTGACGACGTGTTTGCTACGGTGAGCCCTGGCAGCTCGAAGCAGTACGAGTTCAGCATCCCCAGCTACCACATGGGCGGCACACACTGGTACCACCCGCACCTCCATCACGCCACCTCTCTTCAGGCCGGCGGCGGCGCAGCTGGTGTGCTCATCGTGGACGACCCCGTTGGCTACTTGCCAGATGTGTACAGCAGCATGGTCGAGAAGGTCCTCTTCATTTCGGGCCACAACTTAGTCACGCTGCAGGGCATAGCCCAGGACGCACAGTCCAGCGTCCTGGAAAACGCGCAGAGCTTGGCAGATGCTGCCGGCCTCGACACGAACGTTTTTCTCGTGAACGGCCAGCTCGGGCGGACCATGACCATCGGCTCGCACGTGTGGCACCGCTTGCGCATGATCTACGCCGCAGTAGAGCAGTCGCTCACCGTTACCGTGGTAGGAGACGCCACTTGTGAGTTGCAGCTTCTTGCCAAGGATGGCATCTACCTTAACGAAATCCCGAGAGCAGTCAATGCTGTATACCTCTATCCTGGTTCTCGGGCAGACGTTGCAATGTCGTGCACGTGCACGGCCTATCCTTGCACCACAGAGCTGCGCTCCCAGGCTGCGCGCAGGCTTCAGCCACCCGGGCAGGGGCAGGGCCAAGGTGGCCAGGGGCCCACCGATGTTGGCCTGGATGTGGCAGACGTGACTCTCCTCACCGTCTCCGTCACGGAGACGGCTGGCGGTGTGGTCAGGACGCTCCCGACCACCGCACTGGACCGCCCGTGCTACCTCGCGGACTTGCGGCAGGCTGCCGTGCCGAGTGGGCAGTCGGGCGCCTTGGCCTTCAACGGCGGCGCCATGGCTGTGACCTGGGACGGGATCGGCGACAGCATGAACTACGCGAACATCGAAGCTGTGGGGGGCATGGGCGTCTGGCCGGCGCTGACGAGCTTCAGAACTGGCAGCGTGTACGAGATAGCAGCCAATGGGGTAGGCAACCACCCGCTTCATTCTCACGTGCACCCGTTCCAGATCCAAGACATGGATGGGTCGGCCTCCCTCGACGATGGCTACTTCCAGGCAGGAGACTGGCACGACACGCTCTACATCGCCAGCCTGGGAGGAGGGGCCGACGTGGACGTGACCGTCCGGATGAACACCGACAGCTTCACCGGCAAAATGGTCATCCACTGCCACATCCTCTCCCACGAGGACCAGGGGATGATGGGCTACATCTCGAGGAATACATAATGGCAAAAGAGAGAATTTTCGGAGGTCCGCGCGGATTTCTTGGATCGGCGCTGGACCCCCTGGCTGCGCCTCCGGCGCCGCCCCTGGCGCGCTCCGCGAGCGAGGGAGGGGGCGCAGCGCCGATCCAAGAGAAATCCGCGCGGGCCTCCGAAAGCTCCTGCTCATGCCAGCATCTGCTCCCCGAGCATCTCCCTCACTGGCACGGAGGGCGCCGCCTTCGCAGATGCCAAGGGCACTCTCGATCCCAACTGCTACGACGCTGCCTTCGCCGGCGCCCCGCCCGCTCCGACGCCTACGCCGCCACCGACCTCGGCGCCGACGCCAGAGCCCACCCTGCCGCCGCCGACGTCCGCGCCCACGCCCGCGCCGCCGCCCCCGTCGGCCGCACCCACCTCGGCACCGGCGCCGACGCCCGCCCCGACGCCCGCGCCGCCCCCGACGCCGGCGCCGACGTCGACGCCAGTGCCCACGGCTGCCCCGACGCCCGCGCCGCCCCCGACGCCGATCACGCACACGAGCACGGACACGAGCACCGTGTCGGAGACGACCACGGCCACAGGCACGAACACGACGGCCACCTCGGAGACGATGACCGTCACGACCACGACGAGCACCACGAGCACGAGCACCACCACGAGCAGCACCACGCGCACCACGACCACCACGACCTCTACGACCAGCATGTCCATTCAGATGCCCAGCAGGACGAGAGGTTGCGACGAGTTCACGATGACCGCGAACTTCCCGTCAGTTGCGGACACCATACAGTGGTCGTGCTACCCAGAGACCAGTCCAATATGCGAGGAGATTCTGGCAGTGGCCGCGGCCGCTCCCGCACCAGAGCCACCGGTCGTCACACTGACGCTCCCTGCCGAAACCGTCCAGAGGGCCACCGACATGGTAACAGGCGACGTGCTCGAGTTCGAGATATCGATACATGCGCAGGCGAACGCGACTGACAATCTCACGAACATGTCCACCCTTGTGTCCGACGCGCAAGGCTCCTTCATTTTTGACACCACGGGGCGAATGACCATAGATTTGGTTCCGCCACAGCGGACAGAGTACGTCGAACACGAGCCGTTCGTCGAATTCAGCGCAAGCTTCAGTCAGTGTGGTAACATCAGCCATGTAGAGGGCACGTGCAACCCAACGCACTGTGCCAGCGGCCTCACATGTCAAGATTCACCTGGGACGTGCTGCGAGGAGGGTGACTGGAATTGCTGCGGCGGGGAGGATCCTGACGAATTGTATTTCTTTAATTGGCCGAAGTTCGCCAACCGCCTCTATTGTCCTGTCGGCTCCCTGTGGCCAGTCATGTGCAACTGGGGCGTGTGCGCTCTCGACGATCATAACTGCGACACGGAGTATGGAGGCGTCAAGATGTTTGGGGACGTGTGCAGAATTCAGGTATTCTGGCGGCTCCTCCCAGATGAGAACCACACCGGGAGCACGACTTGGACAGAGTCCGTCGCGGCGGAGGCGAACTCGTCACACCCGCACGTGCTGATGCCCATCAGAGAGCTGCCGTGCCCCGGCTCCTACGAGCTCAGGGCCCGGGTGCCGAACGGTGGAGAGGGCCTGGTGCTGGAGATCGGGCTCACCGTCCACATCCTGGAGAGTCCGTACCCCGTGGCTGCACTCAGGGCCCCCCCGTCCGCCTCGGTCGGGTGCCCCATCGTCTTGAATGCCTCGGACTCCCGCTGATGGGCCTGTTGTCCACCACCACCACCATAAGCTGGAGGGGGAGGAGGAGGAGGAGGAGGAGGAGGAGGAGGAGGAGGAGGAGGAGGACCCCCTCCCCTCCAATTTCTAGTGGTGGTGGTGGAAAACAGGCCCCTCACCCGCGACCCCATCGAGTCCGAGATCGGCCTCAACCTGACGTTCGGCTGGACCTGCGAGGGCGTGAGCGGCGGGGCCGAGCCCGCCGCGCAGCAGGCGTGCGACGGTCTGGGCAGGGTGGCGGACGACCCGGCCGTCGTGACCATCGCGTTCCAGACGACGGGCAGCTGGTCTGTCCGCCCCGACCTGGGGGGGGGGGGCGCCTCGGGGGCGCGAGGGCTGGAGTAGGGGGCCGCATGCGACCCCCCCCCCCCCCAGAAACCGGGGGGGGTAGGGGCAGGGTTCGCATGTGGCCCTATGGAGGGGGGGGGGGGCGGAGGGGGGGCAGGGGATGGTGGATGGGGACGGGCCCAAGGGGAGGCGCGACACTGTGGGTCCGCGCGCGTCGTGTCCACCAGCGGCGACCCCGCCGCTGGCACCGTTGAACGCCGCCGGCGACCCAGAGTCGATCACCGCCCACCAAACCACCCCAACCCAACCCGAAGGCCCCGATTTGCCCTCCATCTCCAGTGGGGGGGGGGGTCGGGGAACATTGGAAAAACACGTGTGAAGCCCGTACCCCCCAACCCGAAATTTGGGTCTTCGGGTTGGGCTGGGGTGTCTGGTAGGTAGTCAGTCGATCGATGCTGAACGATGTGACGTTTCGCAAACGGCCGATCGTTCAAGGTTGAACGATCCCCGCGGTGTCAGCAACCAACGCCGGGGTCGACACGACGCGAACCTGCCCGTAGGTGGAAGTGGGACGGGGGCCTGGCGGCGGGGCCCCGGGTCCAGATCTAGATCCGGGAGTCCCTGGGGGCCCCGGGGCAGAGGAGGCTATCGCACCTTTTCGGACGCCTCGCCTGGAGGAGGCTGTCGGACGGGGCTAGAAGGAGGACAGAGCCGTTCCAGAGCGTTCTGGAAGGCTCTCCAGAGCGTTCCGGAACGCTCTGAGAAGGCCGCTGCGCCCGAGACATCCTGCAGAGCCGTTGGATCTCAGAGATTCTCGAGCTATCCTCACCCGATTTTATCCTCGTCCTGGCTTCGTCTGATATCGCACCTTGTCGGACGCCTCGTCAGGAAGAGGCTGGGCCTGAGGCGTGGGTTGGGGGTCTTGGGCGTGGAGGGCCCGGGCCCAGATCTGGATCTAGACTTCAGTCGGGCATGTTCCTCTACAGGAGGAAAGTTCGAGAATAGAAAAAACAGTCTGGGGACGGTTTTTCGTGCTCCTTTGACAACAATTTAAAACGTTTTGACTCTGGTCTGCTTTTCTTCCAAAATCCGCCTATAGGAGGGCATGCCCGACCTAAATCTAGACCTGATGCTCCATGCGGGCCCCGAGGTTGTTCACCTTGACCGTCACGCGGGGCTTCGACGGGAAGCAGAGCGTCACCTCTCATGTCGTCACCGTGGTGGACGGGGTCGCGGCCACCATGGCCGAGCCGCCCGCCGAGGTTTCAGGCCATCTGGACCTCACCATCGAGCCGTACATCGAGGAGGACCCTGCGTGCGACGCCCCCACGCTCTACAGGAGTCTGTGGCTGCTCAACACCTCCTCGGATGGCTCCCTGAACCCCGCAGTCTCCGATGGCGATGTTCACAGCGCCTGGATCTTGACGGGTCCGACGACAAGCAAGGCGCTCCTGATCACGGCGCCGTGGCCGGCCCCTCCAGGCAACTATCTGCTGCGCCTGGTGCTGACCCGCGACTCGTCTGACGAGAGCACGTGGCAGCCCCCGGCGCACTGGGACCCGTCTTCTTCCGTAGGACCGTGGATCTTCGACTCGGGCCTCTTCATGATCGACGAGCCGCCGAGGAACGGTAGCAGCGACATCTACCCTCCCTCGGGCAACATGACCACGACAAGGTTCACTCTGAGCTCACTGCACTGGGTCGACGACGATCTGCCGTTGACGTACAGGTTCTCCTGGCACGCAGGCCCCATCTCGTAGAACAGACAACTACGCAAACACAAGCGTTCGGAGGTCCGCGCGGAGTCTTCGGTGGCAACTCATGGGAGCCTTCCATATCATCTTGTCGGCTCTTGCGAATCGACGCTCGTCGACGCAAATGGACGCTAAACCAGCGCGGATCTATGCTGATCGACGCCAAGTCGGCGCTGTCTCGTCGACTCCCAGACGCCCACTGACGCCAGTCGACGCGAAAGGCGGAAACTCCGAGGGGCCGCGCCAGGCTCCCACGGCCTGCGAAGCCGAAAGAGTTCGGGGGTCGACGCCGGACCCTCGCGCGCTGGGCACAGGGGGGGCCCGGGCGCTGACCCCCGAAGCCCCCGCGGACCTCCGAGGGTTTGGGTGCTCGCGTCGCCGCCTGCTCTCCCGCCGTCGGCGCCGGCAGCCCGTCGTGGACGGAGCTCAGCTCGGGCTCGTGGGCCGCCTCGCCCGTGTTCTGCGGCATGGTCTTCGCCTCCGTCCCGAAGAAGAAAGAGAACGCCACGAGCACAAGCTTCTTGGCGCTCCGCGCGGGCTTCTCGGAGCCGCGCTGGGCCCCCCGCGCTCCCGGGGAGAGGGAGGGGGGCCCAGCGCGGAGCCCAGAGATCCGCGCGGAGCGCCAGCGGTTCATGTTCATGTTTATAGGGCGATTTTTCTTCTTCTGCCGTCGGCACCGTGACGGTGAGGTCTGCGGCCAAGGACCGGGTCCAGCGTCGAGGGCGCCAAAGCGACCGTCGAATTTCGTCACCCCGGGGGGCGCGAGGAGAACCGCGCGTCGCGCACCGCGGCTTAGACTGGAAAGTGCTGGGGAGGCGCCGCTCTCCAGATTGGCGGCGCCAGGGCGCGAAGATACTTGCGAGTCGCACGTCGCGGGGCCTGATGCGCGAAGCGAGGCGACCTACGTCGAAGAACAATCAACGTCATAAATGTGTTAGCCATCGTTGACCCCAAACGATGTGTTTATGTAGTACAAAACATGTGGTGAAAACTGTGTAATAGCACACACATGCATTATTATGGTTATTGTTGTGATTGCTATTGTTAGTATTGGTATTACTTTTAATGTTAGCATTCGCATTCGCATTGTCACATTTGTGTGGAACAACCTGTGTGGTGCATTAGATGCGGTCCACTCGACGCTGTGCAGTATATGTTGTATATGCTGTGCAGTCTACGTGGTGCAATATATGTGGCGCAGTCTTTGTGTTGCAGTATATGTTGTGCAAGAGATATACAGCAATACGCGTGGTGCAATATACGTCGTGCAATCCAAGTGGTACAGCCGATCTGGTGCAATTCACTTGTACATACGAATTTACAAATCCCATTGTCTTGCGAACATCCCACCCACCAGCCCGCAACCTGGTCTACAAAACCCATGCGGCGGCGATTGCGATAACGGCTTGGCGTTGGCTGATGCATCTTTGCGGCCGCGCTAACCCGCGCATGCTAGCCCGCGCATGCTCGCGCGCACAGCGTCTAACTAGTTTGGCGCGACCGACGCGGCCGCGGTGGCGCTGACCGCTGGGTGCTTCCCAGCGGGCACTTCAGTGCGAGTCGGTGGCTTGGGCGGGCGCGGTATCATGGCGACGCCGATAACGGTAGACACGATTATGAAAGTAGCGATGGTGACGACAGTGGCGATGACGACGGCAAGGCCAATGATGGCGCCGATGTTGACCACGCCCGCCGATAATAATTACAATGTCATCGCGTCGGCGATGCAGGTTTTTGAAGTGGTTCGACATGCGCGCGCGGCCGACGCGCGCGATTGGCCCGCGTGGTACTCTTTGACACGGATCGTGCCCCGCCTACCCAGTACGCGCGCAAGGGCGTTCGAATGAGTTCGACATGCGGCGCGAGATGCCAGTTTGGCAGAACTGGAAACCGATGGTTTCCGTAAAATCCACGCGAACGCGACCGCCGGATTATCTCAACAGTGAAGTTGCAAAACCCAGTGTTGTTTATATGTTTCGTGGCACTCAATTTTGAATTCCTCACGATACAGAATATGGTTCAAGGGTTGTGGCATGCGCGCGCGATGATTCGCGCATGCGCGCTTCGTCCTGTTTATTGCAAGGGACTCTTGCGACAGCACGCGCACAAAAAGGCGCGTGAACGATTTCGGCACGCGCGCGCGAGAGGCCAAGTTGGAAACTTGTTTTATGAACATGCTGAAACTCCGACGGTGTGTTGCCTGCAGAACTCGCAAGAGCGCGGGCGCAAACTTTTTTGGTTGAGAGTTCTTGCTGTAAAGCCATGCGTTTTAAAAGTGCTCGTGACATTCGGTTCCATTGTTTAAAGCAGTTCTTGATAGGTAATGATGTTTGGTAAACGAGAGCGCGCGCATCGCATTTCTTGCAGAGGATGGCCAGGGGTGTCGATACCAGCCTGGCTGGGATAATACGAGTTCGAACTTCGGGTGGACGATGGGACAGAATCATATGTAAATTGCACTCCGGTAAGGTGAATCCCATGGGGGCGAATAGATTACTCTTTTGAGTAGGAGAATAAATGATGTGCAACTCACGTGGAACAGCCATCCTGCGCGGTGCAATCTATGTGGCAGAATATATCAGAATATGATGTGCAATGTATGTGCAGCTGCTGACGAGGTGCGGTATGTGTTGTGCAATCTACGTTGTTCAATCCTGGTTGTGCAGTAGATGTGTAGGTGGCGCAGTATATGTGGTACAACCTACGGCGTGCAATCTATGTGTATATCTATGTTGTGCAAGATACGTTGTTCCACCTATGTGGTGCTCTCTGGGTGGAACGACCTATGTGGCGCAAACGACGTGTGTAGTATATTATGTTGTGGAAAACATGTTGTGCGATCTACTTGGCGCAACGTAAATTGTGCAATGTATGTTACGCATTATAGGTTGTGCAGCCTATGTTGTGCATTACATGTCGTCTTCTATACGTGGTGCAACCGATGTGGTGCAATTAGTTTTTACAAGCGACTTGACAACTTCCATACTCTTGTGAACATCACACCCTCCCACCCGCAACTTGGTTTGCAAAACCCATGCGGTGGCGATTGCGATAAGCGCTTGGAGTTGGCAGGTGCGACCACGCTAGCCCGCGCATGCTCGCGCGCGCAGTGGCCAGCTAGTTTGGCGTGACCGACGTGGCCGTGGTGGCGCTGACCGCCGGGCATTTCCCAGCGGGCACTTCAGTACGAATTGGTGACTAGGGCGGGCGCGGTATCATGGCGACGCCGACAACAGCAGACACGATGGTGAGAGTAAGGATGGTTACGAAGGTGGCGATGACGACGGCAAAGCCCAAGATGGCGCCGATGTTGATCACGCCCGCCGATAACGATGACAATGTCCTCGCGTCGGCGATGAAGGTTTTTTACGGGGTTCGACACGCGCGCGCGGCCAACGCGCGGCCAACGCGCGCGATTGGCCCGCGCGGTACTCTTTGACACGGATCGCGCCCCCCGCCCCCGGCACGCGCGCAAGGGCGCTCGAACGCGATAGGCCCGTTTGGCAGAATTTCTGAAATGATTGGAACACCGATGGTTTCCCGAAGAATCCGCAGGAGCGCGAGCGCAGCTTTGTTTGAACAGTGATGTTGCAAAACGAAGTGTTTTTTATATCAAAAATGTTTACGTGGCGCTCGATTTTGGAATCCCTACGACACCGAACGTTTTTCTTGGGATTCCGGCATGCGCGCGCGACGACGCGCGCGTGCGTTTCGTTTCACTTTTTGCAAGGGATTCTTGCGACAGCACGCGTGCAAGAGCGTTCGAACGAGTTTGGCACGCGCGCGAGAGGTCAATTGGAAGCATGCTATGCCAACATTGAAAATTCCCGGGTTTTCTGAAGAATGCGCATGAACGTGGGCGCATTTTTTGAGAGCTCTTGTTGTAACAACCACGAATGTCAATACATGTTTTCGCGACACTCGATTTCGAATTTTTTGCGGAACCGAAAATCTTGTTTAGAGAAGTACAAGGTTCTCGGCATGCGCGCGCGATGTTTTTTTTCCCGTTCTAGCAATGGGTTATGCAACTTGATGAGTTTTGATAAACCAGCGCGCGCGCATCGTATTTTTTTGCACGGGGCGGCGGGAGGTGTCGATACCAACGGGGCTGGGATGGTATGAGTTCGCATGTGAGGTTGACAAATGGTCAGAATAATAAGCCAATCGCATATCGCGAGGGGGGACCGTTAACCCCGGCCTCGGGAGGGGGGTCGAATTTATTTCTCTTTTAGAAAAGAGAAAATATGTGGTATAACCAATGTGGTGGCGATTCGACACGGATCGTGCCCCCCCCCCCCCCGCACGCGCGCAAGGACGTTTGAATGAGTTCGACATGCGGCGCGAGAGGCCCATTTGGCAGAATGGATGAACTTGCAGGAAAACCGGTGGATTTCTTGAGAACCCGCACGAGCGCGAGCGCAGGATTGTTTAAACAATGATGTTGCAAAACCTCTGTGTTTTATGTGTTTTCGGTGCGCTCGATTTTGAAATCCTTACCGAGGGTTTTTTTCCCAGGATTTCGGCATGCGCGCGCGACGACGCGCGCGTGCGCACTTCGTCCAGTTTTGTTGTAAGGACTTCTTGTGGCAGCATTCGCGCAATGGCGTTCAAACGATTTTGACACGCGCGCGCGAGAGGCCAACTTGGAAACATTGTATGGAAATGTTGAACAACAGTTTTGTTTTTTTATTGAGAATTCGCAAGAGTGCGGGCGCAATCTTTTGTTTTGAGGAACTATTGTTGCAAAGCCATGTATTTTTATATGTCTTCGCGGCTGACGGTTTTGAAATCGTTACGACACCTTGGTTGTTGAAAGGGCCTCGGCATGCGCGCGCGACGACGCGCGCTTGTGCATTTCATCATATTTAATGATGGTTTTCGATAAACGAGACCGCGCGCATCGTATTCCTTGATGACGGGGGTGTCGAAACAAACCTGGCTGGGATGGTACGAGTGCATATGTAGGATGGACGAGGGGTCCGGATCATAGATACCCACAAGAGAAG